GAATTAAAGTAGCTTCTTTGTGTTTTCCATTAACATCTCACATTCTCTGTTGAAGAGCAGACCTATAATTTCCTTGTCTGTCTTTTTCATCTGGCATATGTGTAGAACCTCTTTCTACCATCTTTAACACTTCCTGACCCACATCCTAGTCCACTGTTGGTCAGGCTGAGAGTAACACTGCCCCTCCTCAACCTGGATGGCACTGGAGTCTTTCTCTGCATCTTGAGCCAGGGTATTGGTATCAACTGGAGTGGGGCTGGCCATAGACATTTCTCAGAAAAATGCAGGAAAAATGCTTCTAATAATAGGTGTTCATCACCCTACAGGCAATGGAGACACAATTGGCAACCTGGGCCATCTTGTAATCAGAGCTTGAGGACCCTGGTCTTTGAGGGGCACTACTGCATGTCCTGGTTATGTCCCAGAGGTGCCATTTCAGCAGAAATCACTCAAAGAAGAGTTGGTTCCATTATACTACTATAAACATGCTATATATGTCCATAACCTGAGCAATTTCATCATAGAACTATACCGCTGTATGCCAGTATAAGGGTATTGACCAAAAATGGTGGGAGTAGAGTCCTGACCAATTCAACTTCTTCTGCCCCTAGTCTACAGAACAGGCTGGATGCTGGTTGGGGACAAAAGGGAAAAGGAGCCCCCCGTGTGCCATGAACATTGAGTAATGAACTGTGGCTCTCTGAGCTCTGCTTGCACTGATTGGAGTAAAGGGTGCAAAGATTTATTGACTCCTGCCAGTACCTAAACACACACAACTGTGTTTGTATAATCATTCCATAAAAAGATTCCTCCATCCTTTTCCCTGAATGATTCTAGAATACATTTAAAATGCATTAATATAAACAAACACTTTTAATGAGCTTTCTTTGCTCAATAATTAATATATTACAAAATGATAGCCAAGAAAATGTCTTTTCACAGCAATGCCTTCGCCATTTTTCACAGCCACAGATAATAAATTATACCCTGAACACTAGCTGAGGTGATAATATATATTTTACTGCAACATTCTTTTTCCTTGATATTCTTTCTTATTAAAATTTCGTGAGATTGTGTTGTTGTTTTTTTTTTAAAATACATTTTAAAAGATACATTTCCATGACTGAAACTGATTTCATAGACATTAGGGCTGGAAGGGACCTCAGAAGATCCTTGAGTCCATCCCCCTGCCCGAGGGGCAGGAAGTCAGCTGGGGTCATAGGATGCAAGATAAGCATCCAAATTTCTCTTGAAGGCGTTCAATGTAGGTGTTTGAACCACCTCCAATGGCAGGCTATTCCAGACCTTGGGGGCTCGGACAGTAAAGAAATTCTTCCTTATGTCCAGCCTGAAACGTTCTTGCAGGAGTTTATAACCATTCAACCTTGTCATCCCTTGGGGCGCTCTGGTGAACAAACGTTCCCGCAGATCCTAGTGAACATCCCTGATAAATTTATAAGTGGCCATCAGATCACCCCTGAGCCTGCTCTTTTCCAGGCTAAAGAGCCCCATGCTCTCAGCCTGTCATCGTAAGGTCTGTTTTCCTGACCTCTGATCATGTGCGTGGCTCTTCTCTGGACTCTCTCAAGCTTCTCCACATCCTTTTTGAATTGTGGAGCCCAAAACTGGACACAGGACTCCAGCTGTGGTCTCACCAAGGCTGAGTACAAAGGCAAAATAATGTCTTGAGATTTGCTTGAGAAGCATCTATGGATGCAAGCCAGCGTTTTGCTCGCTTTACAAGCCGCAGCATCACATCATAGTTTCATAGTTTGTAGGGTCGGAAGGGACCTTGACGGATCATCAAGTCCGACCCCCTGCCATGGTAGGAAAGAGCACTGGGGCCAAACGACCCCAGCAAGGTGTTCATCTAGCCTCCTCTTAAAGACCCCCAGGGTAGGAGCCAGCACCACTTCCCTTGGAAGTTGGTTCCAGA